GCCGCTGCCTAGTAAGGCCGTGTTATCGTTGTTTCGCGATCGTTGCCCAGTAACGGGTCTGTATGCCACAATATTTCATGGGACAGTGATGGTTGAGCATAGAGGAATGGTGGAATGGTGATTATCATGAGAAAATCGGAGAGGATCCTGCTCCAATTCCAGGTTGTCTTACATGAAATCGCTTGGAGTTGAACCCGAGACTCTGCATTTTGATGCCAGCGTCTGTTTCGGTTATATCATATCCAACATATGAGATAAATGTTTATTTCAATTCGTTCACATAAATACTCTCTGAGCAATACTAAGTGGTCGTGAAGATGCACCCTGCACATTTTTAACCTCGTTGGATCTAGCTTCACGCTCCTGCCACCCTTATTACTCTCTTAGAGCCGTCAGAGCAGTTTCGAGATATGTAATGCAAACACTGTTTTCACACAGAATTAACGCATGAGGGAGTATTCATTTTGGAATACCGGCTTTCGTGCCCTGCAATATGTATTTTAACGCTTGTTCTCTCGGGAACAAAATATCAGCTTCATAATATCTGTCGCCACCTACACCCTTCCTCTTGGAGGAGATGAAAGAGTTTTGCAAAGTCCCGAACTCTGCTTATTAAAAGAAGACCCCGTGGCCTTTTTCCGCAAGTGAACTATACCGACCGAGCAACCGCCGCTTGTCGGCGAAGTTAGTGCCAACTTTTGCGGATAGAGTGTGTCGCGTGGCCAGCGCGTTTCCCAAGGCCGTTAATCTCGGTTTTCTAGACCGGAGCCACTACTTTTCCATTCAAATAGCTCCTCAGTTATCCTCACGAGGCTGAGTGGACCCCGTTCCAGGCCCACTACTTCACAGAAAATCTGGTAACGCCGGAATAGAACCCGGGACCTCTGGATCTGTAGCCAGGAACTCTGACCACTAGACCACAGAGGCGGTCAATCTGCTTATTATTTACTTCATTTTATTCCTTCCTTAAGGCCAGCAAAATATTTGGTCCGAAGAGGGGTGAATGAATTTATAATTCAGAACATTACACAGCTAGGGGTTTCGTGATTTGTGTAGGCTACTAGTAAGTCTGTAGTTGGGTTAGTGAAATCAGATACTGTGTACTGGGATATGTAAATTGGATGGAGGACATAATAGATACATACAGAATTTTGGCAGGAGATATATTATCCCGCAGACGTAGGTAAACGTTCTCGTGATTGACAGTGAAGAATGTGAGAAGGCGGTATTGATATGGATGTAAGGAAAATAAATTTAGATGCTCGAACGGAGATGTAAATGGCCGGGGATTTTAACTGTTGGTGGGCTTCGATATTAATGGAGCTGAATATTCAGGTTCTACTGACAGAGGGCTAGGCCTCTGTATTTATTTTTCTTTATATGGCATGGTCTGGATAGAAACGCAATTTTTTATAAACTAATCAAATATTCCGAATACCGGACCCTCAGGATGTCACAGTTATGGTTCTTGTTTTGACCCTGCTATGTGTTGACTCTGCTTTCTTTGTCCTGTCAATTTGTTTGCTGTGGACGTGCAGTCTGGGTGACTGATTGCCTGGTCTCTTGTTATGATAAACCCACGTTCCTTCCGCTTTCTGTTGATTGTCCTTCTTCTTTGTGGGCGATCCTCCTTTTGCTCAGTCCCTTTCTATGTAGTGATCCAAGGTGTGCTGTGCCATTTCAGACCTGAAAAATTCTTCCAATTGCATGTACGAGGGAGGGTCAATAAATAAGTAACAAATATATAAAACAAACAAACATCGTGATTATAGTCCGCAAGCGAACTATACTGACCGAGCGACCGCCGCTTGTCGGCGAAGTTTAGTGCCAACTTTAGCGGATAGAGGGTGTCGCGTGGTCAGCGCGTGGTCACCTCCGTTTAAATTTCTTCGCCATCGAAGCGTTTGCCACCCAGTTGTGAACCGCTTTACGCGACAAACACTTCCCACCGTAAAGAGGAAACATTTCTTTATGGTTACCATTTGGATCGAGTCCTTTTGCACACAGACCACGTACAACAGAACGTTACTCTTCGGTAGTATACACCTCAAGCACGGTGGTCATTTTGACTACCGAAATCAGGCTCTGATCATGCGCATGCTTTTTTGCTACCTAGATTATCATGAAGTTGGACTGTGCTACTACCTAGTGGTACACATACAACACCTATTACTTTCATAGTATGCATCGTGTTGTGTGTCACAAATAAATGGCAAGGTAAGGTTTCCGTCAGTATGATGGTCCCATGAGGACAGAAACATGTAGCGGTAGAAAATGAAATTCAATCTGAGTATTGATTGATTGTAAAACGTTTGTTGTGTTGATGGAAACCTTACCTTGCCAAACACCTCTTACACCCATTACAGCTGTTTTACTTCCATTTGTGACTTTTTTTACTACTGACTATCTCTCTCGTAATAGGCTATTACTATCTGTTCATAAATTCTTGTGTTGAACTGTGTTCTGTTGCGTCTCTCGCCCCCTTAGGCACAGGAAATTCTCTGTATTCGCTTCTGTGTTTCCCGAGACTCGTTCATCTGTTTAACCTTTGTATGTCTGGTCTGGTTTTTAAGTCGTTTTTATGACTTGAATCTGTTCCCATTTCGAAGCAGTTGCCGTCTCTGCTAGTTTTTGTTAGTCTATCTGAAGATATTACATCATACATGCTGTTTAAAGTTTTATTACGTTTTAGGTCACGTTTCTCTGTTACTGAGTGTTCTGTTTATTCAAATATTATAATTGCTTTTAAATAATCGAACCAGTATCATATACCCTTACAACTCTGCTTGAATTTATGAGGGGTAGGCCTCCTCGGCCCTTGCACCGCGACCTACAGTGGTCTATTGTGCTTCACAACTCCGCTTTGGCGTATAGTATATTTCGTTATATTGGAAAACAACGAAGAGAACACGGGGCTAGATTCTGTTCATAAAATGCCGTGTAGTCTTATTATGCCAACTATACTAAGGCCGTTGTTTCTGAATATAGAGATGGACAGGACATGTAGCATGCGTAAGACACATTTTGGTTGGAGAAGTTCAATAGAAGATTGGTGGAACAAAGTGTAGGTAAGAGGTTGGTACTACAATGGTGTTGGAGAAATAAGACGTGAAAATGTCTACTAAGTTAAAGAGGTTCTGTATTAGGTTACTAGCAACGTTTGTGTGAACAGTTTGACTAGACAATAAATTCTTTATTAGGCCCCGTAGTAGCACAACGAAACGGTCTATGTCAGTATCACCTTAGCTACGTTGGAAAGTATGTACATGTTTTGGCTTTTAAAGCCATCACACTATTGAACTGCATTTCAATGTAATGGTACAATGTAGCTGGATACTTGGCAACTGTTACGCTATAATAATACAAGGTATAAAAATACAATCAAATTATAAAATTCTTATAAAACGAGAGTTATACAATAAAGTATGGTTAAAACTATTCATGTAACGCTTCATATTGTGAAGTCAGTTGTTGCGAACTTGTTATGTTCCAGCGGACACATAGCGGTATATTCATGACGTGTACACGTAAAGTTAACTACTTGGAGGCCCGTGGTATTGGTGTAGTATTATTTGGTATTTATTGTTTAACCGGTGTCTCATTTTACAGTGTATTTTGTCCGCTCTGGTTAGAATGTAGATTGCAATTCGGCTTTAAAAGCCGAAACATGTAGCTAAGGTGATATTGACCTAGACCGTTTCATTGTTGTGTTACGACGGATCCTAATAAAGAATTTATATAATAAACACAACAGGATACACCTAATAAAAATAATTACTAGACTGGACGGGAATATAGGGAAGTATACCGAAAAGGAAACGTAACAACTCCAGGGAGATATGCTGAGGTTCGATCCCTTGGACTTCTTTCCACATCTTCAGTATGGGTGTTCAGTTGACCCGCTAGTCACATGATTGACAAACTCCATGGAATAGAATGGTTCTTGAGAAGCTAATAATGGTTGAGATAGTCAAGAAATTCATAGTACTTTCTGGAAAGCTAAGATTTGTTACGTTGCTCACAAATGCACGCCACTGGTCCCTATCCTGAGCCAAATCAATTCACATCATATTTATTTAATCTTATTTTTAATATTATACTGCCGTCTACCTTTTCCCTTTACTTTTTCGTACCAAAATATTGTATGCATATCTCTTCTCCACCAATGCCGCAAAACGCCTCTTCCTGGATTTCATCATCATAATAATATTCGGTGATGAATGCATACTGTAAAGCTTCTTTTGAAGCAGTTTTCTCCAGAATCTAATTCTTTCCCCCTATGTCCAAGCCCTCAGCACCGTGTTTTGAAACTTCATTATGCGAGTGAGAGTCAGTAATTAGGTCACAAATGGATATAAATCGTAAAAAAAAATATGTGATAATTGAACATAGGAAAAAAGACATTAATTTCTCGACATATCCTCCACCAACATTGATACACTTGTCCCATTGATTCGAAACTCGCAGCACGGAAGATTTTGGCTGTTCTCTCGACCACTTCCGCCCGCCGTGTCAACCTCTTCCTCATCAGCGACACTTTTGCCACCAGGGTTTTTTTAGCGGACCAGTTGTCAACCGCTTTACGCGACAAACACTTCCCACCGTAAACAGGAAACATTTATTTATGAATATACTTTGCAGTGAGCCATTTTTCCCTCAAAAAAGAGAAAGCACAACAGAACACTGCTCTTCGGTAGTATACCTGCAAACACGGTAGCCATTTTGACGACTGGAACCAGCCTCTGAACATGCGCATGCGTGTCTGCTACCTAGACTCATGAAGCTGGACTGTGCTGCTGCCTAGTGATACACATAGAAAACCTATTACGTCCATTACAGCTGCTTTTTTTTTAATTTGTGTCCTGTTTACTGATTACCTCGTTGGTTCTTGCCTTAATGTGAGAGACCCTATTTCACACCCATAACAATCAACAGTTGTTACACAAAGGAATTTAAATGTTGCAACAATGGCCCTGATCTGTGACGTCTTTTTCACGCAGGTGGGAGCAGCCATGAGTCTGAAGAGCACTGATAGGCCGCCCCCTCCGTCCCCTTCTTCCCCACCGCCGCCACCCGAGCTGACCGCCCTGTGGGACATGGACAGTGCTGACTACGAGTGTGACTGTCCAGGACCGCCTCCGGAGTTCAGGTTACCGCCTCCACCACGACCGCCTTTCCTCCAGGAATCTTCGGGGGCGGATTGTTCCGAGGCGCCGATCCCAGACCTGGAGACTTGTGACGCTGTGCCTGTAAGTACATGCCATGTCATGCAGCGACGCTGACAAAGAACTGCATCCTCCCCCTTCCACACCGCCGCACGGCGTTCTCTTGGCTTGGAAAAACAGCAAGACTTATACCTCACGAGATGTTGAAGTCGCAGATCTATTATAAAGTCAATCAAGGGGACGTAAACTACGCTCAGAGTGTATATTCACCAAGCTGATGGGCAGCGCAGCCGTAGCACACAGAGACCAAAGTACCGAAATAGTACTTGGAACGAAATGTTACATTTCTGATTATCTTTATAGGACTCGTTCGACGGGATCGCAACAATTACTGATGTTTTGTACGTAAGCATTATTGTGAGCACTTATCTGATTCCCAGGAGCCGGGATAGCGCAGTCTGTATAGCGACTGGCTATGGGTTGGACGACCGAGGGATAGGAGTTCGAGTCCCGGTAGGGTCAAGAATTTTTCTCTTCTCCACGTCGTCCAGACCGGTTCTAGGTTCACCCAACATCCTATCCATTTAGTACAGGGGTTATAGCTGCCGGGACGTGAAGCTGACCACTCATCTCAAACTAGTGCCGAGGTCAAGAAAATGTAGATCTGTACAACCATTCCCCCATACGCCTTCATGGCGGAGTTGAGCACAGGGACAACTTTACCTTATCTAAGTCCAAAGATTTTTGTTATCTGTAATTTGACACCTTTTAGTTTGGTAGATAACTAACGCTTCGGAGAAATCCAGCTGCCTCCATCTTCAGGATATGCTTTGAAGATGGGTGTAGCAGGTTCATCCAAAATGTTGTTACCATTTTACCAGTCTACACGGCTAACTTTCGTATTCACCGCTGCGAGAAACCGAAACTCGTATTTATAATTTCGATAAAATCGTTATGTAAAATAAGATTTACGAGTATATTGAACCAATAAGGAATTGATTGTCCTCTTGCTTATGCATGACTCGCTCAGTTCAGACAAGAAGTATACTACTGAAACAAACGGCGTCATAATCATCAGTCTACGTTTGCCACACGCGGACTTTTTAATTTTATTTTTTACGTTCATCAAACAAGGTTAATTAAGCGTGAACTGAGAAACTTGGCTCAAGCGGTTAAGGCTTCTGACTTTGAATACTGATATCCCCGATTCGAATCTAGACCGGAACACTAACCACACTGACTGAGAATTCATGTTAATTCCCTCAGTCCCTCCAGAAAAATTCCAGATGAATATCTTAAATTAGGTCACTCCGTTCACCTTTAGTTCAATATTCACTATTATGCAATTGTTCCAGTATAATCTGGGTTTCTCGCAGGGCAAGCAAATGCTTTACAAACGAACCGTGAGAGTACGAAATGTATCCGGCTTTATTTACAGTGGAAACCGTGTCGGGAGTTCTCGACTCGGTTGTTTCAGCGAGTGGGTTTGTGTGTTTACTGGCTTGTCACTCTAAGTTAATGTCTTCACTCAGTACGGCTTGCTGTAACCCAGTCACAGTTCTGCTTTCTTTTTTGTTTTCCTCTGATTTGTCACCCTGATGGAGATTATGTTTTATTTCCATGCACATTTTAGATGATGAAACACAAATGTTGTGTTCAAGAGTGTTGTAAGGAATTCTGTCATCGAAGAGAATATTTGAATTAAGGACGCAGGCTGTAACAGAAGGAAAGGGGCGTTTATATAACGAAGAGATTTGCAATTTATACCCCGCATATAATATTGTTATTTTGAACAAATTAAAGAGAATAATATGGGAACAGTAGCACCCACGAGGAAATCGAGAAATGCATACACAAATCTGGTGACCACTTCTTATAGATAGGCATAAATGAGATTATGATAGTCCATGATTTATTTTATCCGTCTTCTAGTGCATACATTCATCTATCCCCTCTTCTCACTCTCACTACATGTTTCGGCACAAATGTGCCATCTTCAGGTGCTGATCCAATCCACGACAAACTNAAATTATGATATTAAAACGAATCTTAAAGAAATAGGATACGGGGACGAGAACTGGATTCAACTGGCTCAGGTTATGTCCACTGGTCGACCATAAATGCAAGATACTTTTGACCAGCTCAGCATCTATGGGTTTTCCATGGAAACTCCTGTACTATGTACTCAGTATTTTAGGCCTTAATTAATTAATAAGTTACTTTAAGAAACATGGGAGTAATGTTAAAGATCTCTTTCATTTTAAACTTAAATTTAAATTTAAATTAACGGAATATAAATTGATATATCTTTAATTTAATATGCTCAGATTCATCACTTCCGGCTGGAAATGACAATGGATTTTGGCTCTTGGCTTTCTTATCTTGTGACACGGACGAGACTTATACTGCCTCTAGGCCGCATGAAGATTTTCTTGCGTAAGCAAAACAGTGTTTGTACGTACTAAGGAATTATTTAAGTAATCAAGGCAAACGTGGGAAAACTGTGCAAATGTTATGCCTGAGAAAAGTTGCTTAACCACAGAACAAATATGGTAATTTCTTTCTAGTTTCTTTGAACATGCTATGCAAACTTCCAAGATAACGTCAGCAGATGGACACAATGTTTATATTGTGAATAACGTATCAGGAAAACTTAAAAAGAAATCCTTTTCTTTTTTCCATCTGCACAGGATGTGATTCGCATGGGAAGGTAATTGTAAAGTATGATTCCAGAAGGTTGTAGAAGGTTGGCCTCAAATTCTCTGAGAGGTGAAAATGAAGACAAAGTTTTCCCTATGCTTAATTAAGCACCGTTCCATGAACACATGTTATGAGTGGGGGTATAGCTTCACGTATTATGAACCTCAGTACTGGACGAAGGTGAGCGGTCAACTTCACGTCCTGCCCGTTTCATAGCCGTGAAAAGACCCATCAATACCCATTGGATGGGCGGCTGTGTGTTCCCAGAGACGTTCTGGACACTATGGACAAGATAAAAATCTCTTGCGTGAATCTGGAATCATTCACGAGTTCCCTGGTTGTCCAGCCCGTAGCCTGATCACTATAATACCAACTGTGTTCTGAGGTAAACCACGCAATAATATCCGGACCAGTAATCGAAACCGGGACCGCCATAATATGAAACAGGGTTGATAGTACTGGATCGCGAGCTTTGATGAGCCTGATATGCAGCAGTACGTAGACAGATCATTTGATCAAGGATGGTACTCGATTTTCTTCAGTCACACTTTCTTCATTATCGGAGAATTTACTGCAATAAGCCAGAATATAAGGTGACATCCTACATTTCCCATCAGATAATCAGATTTTATTTTTGCCAAAATTGAATATGTCGTCCACTTCTGAGAGTCGTAAGTAAACATAAGCAAAAACATATACTATTAAGAAATAATAAATTCAACTTTTAATAATATTGAATAATATACGTAAAGGTCTAGAATAAAAATTGAATTTTTTTAAAATTGTTGTGCATTACTTTTGGAGTGACCCTCGTAATTAGAATTAACAATTAGAACTTCACATAATCATATTCATATTTATAATATATACCTGGAAAATAAGGCAACCCTTTTTCTTGTAAAAAGCTGTAACTTAAAAGAAAAAAACTCTGCTTATATTCTGGCTAATACGGCATTCTTCTCATATGAGTTTGTGTCACATGGGCCGTTGTAGCACTTACCGTGTGGCTTGCATAAGACTCTGAAGAGAGGCTGCGGAGGATGTTCTGAAATAATGAGATTGAAGCCGAGTGCGCAGCAGGAAGGCAAGAAAATACGGGGAAAAACACACACTTACATAGATACACATAAAAAAGATGAAAAGGAGATTTGAAAATGAAATGTATATGAAACAGAAAATGATGAAAAATTGGTCATATTAAAGCGGAAGGAAAAGTGAAACCTTTGGCAAAAAGTAAGGACGCTTTAAAAGCACCAGGATAAAATTGTATAGCTAAGAACAAGGAAGAGAGGAATTCTTCGAATATTAAAATTTTACCGGTCGTTGAGCCCTGAAAAATTGGTCTTTGATTTTTAGTATTTGTTTGGCTACCCTCAACGCTTTCTGCATGGCTCTGCGTATTCTCTACATTCTAATATTCGGGCAGTCTGGAACTGCTTGTTCTTCGCATACACAAATCATTACCGTGATATCAAAACATTTCCATGCGTTACGGTAGTTAAAGCTTTCTCCAGGGAGAGCGAGTGTGTCATTTTAACCGTAATCTACCTCAAGTGTTTTCAGGAAAGTTCAGACTCAAATTTAGGACAGGGAACAGGCTTTCGAAGGATATTCCTAGATAGCCCTGCGAATCATAGAAGGTGTCGAAAAGGAAAGTCTCGAATCTGAGACAGAAAATATGGTCGAGAGTTCAACGGGACTAGGACCCGAGAATGACTGCGCTGGCGAGGACCAGCAGCAATTGCAAACGACAGACCCATCCTCTCATCAGATAGAATGTCCCACGTCAATAAACCCACAGCTGTCTGACAGTATAGATGTGTTATTCCAAGACATACTGGCCGATTCCAAGACATACTGGCCGATAATCGTCGATCGTAACACAAGACTCAGACAGGGGTTGTCCAGTGATTGAGGTTAGCTCTTTCTAAGGGACCCAACTGGATAGATGTCTTCTCCCAGTCACCTGAGGACGGAAACAGATACAGGTTCCGAAACGTCGTGTCTTCTGTAACCTAGAATTCCGGACGATGGAAAAGTCCAAAAACCCAGTAATACTGTGTGTCATCCACCATCGTCAGAACCTTTTAGAATCTAATTATTTACCTGTTTTGTCGTATGAAATGAGGTGAAGACGGATGTCATATGGAAGAAGAAGGGGCTCTGGAAGAACGAAGATGATCCATCAGGATTAAGGAACGTTGTCAAGCACGTCGATCAGTTCATCACGCTAAAGCGAGCAAGCCGGGAAGGATATGCTGTAGGATACAGGAGCACAATATCCTGAAGTAGCTCCCTACTTTCTTTTTCTCCTCCTTTCACAATTTCAGAGCTTATGAATTTTATTCTCGTGCCTTGTGAGGAGACGAGAGAAGTCAGCCGAG